AGTACCCAAATGAGCCACAGAGACGTTAGAAGGAACTTTTTCAGTGTCAGAGTAGTTAACAGATGGAATGCATTAGGCAGTGATGTGGTGGAGGCTGACTCCATACACAGTTTTAAATGTAGATATGATAGAGCCCAGTAGGCTCAGGAATCTGAACATCATTTGATTGACAATTGAAAGGCGGGACCAAAGAGCCGGAGCTCAACCGCTGCAAGCACAGTTAGGTGAGTACATACACTGGAAGCAGCCCGTAACAGCTGTCTAACTCCCAGGTACCTATTTACTGCTAGGTGAACAGGGACATCAGGTTGAAAGAACATCACTGCCTACTGCATTTCATTTGTTAACTACTCTGACGCAGAACAAATTCTTTCTAGCGTCTCTGTGGCTCATTTGGGTACTAAGTTTCCGCCTGTGTCCCCTTGTTCGTGTCCCACCCGTGTTAAACAGTTTGTCTTTGTCCACCCTGTCAATTCCCCTGAAAATTTTGTAGGTGGATATCATAACTCCCCTTACTCTTCTCTCTTTCAGGGATGTGAGGTTTAGCTCCCGTAGCCTTTCCTCGTAGCTCATACCTCTCAGTTCCGAGACTAGTCTGGAGCATACCTCTGAATCTTCTCTAACTTTGTCTTGTGTTTAAATAGGTATGGACTCCAGGCTGGAGCTGTTTGTGTGTGTGTGTATACACACCTAGTTGTGCTTGCGTGGGGTTTGAACTCTGCTTCTTTGGTTCCGCGTCTCAACTGTCAATCAACCGGAGTACAGATTCCTGAGCCTACTGGGCTCTATCATATCTACATTTAAAACTGTGTATGGAGTCAGCCTCCACCACATCACTGCCTAATGCATTCCATCTGTTAACTACTCTGACACTGAAAAAGTTCTTTCTAACATCCCTGTGGCTCATTTGGGTACTCAGTTTCCACCTATGACTCCTTGTTCGCATTCTACCTGTGTTAAACTGTTTATCTGTATCTACTCTGTCAATTCCTCCAAGAATTTTGGCATATCTCTGAACTTTTTCCAGCTTTGTGTTGTACTTGATAAGGTACGGGCTCCATGCTGGGGCCGCATACTCCAGGATTGGTCTTACATATGTGGTATACAAGGTTCTGAAAGATTCCTTACACAGGTTCCTGAATGCTGTTCTGATGTTAGCCAGCATTACATACGCCGCTGTTATTATTTTGATGTGGGCTTCAGGAGACAGGTTTGGTGTGATATGGACTCCTTGATCTTTCTCTCTGTCTATTTCATGAATGACTTCATCTCCCATTCGGTATCCTGTGTCTGGCCTCCTGTTTCCACCGCCTAGTTTCATTACCTTGCATTTACTTGGGTTGAACTTTAGTTGCCATTTGTTGGACCATTCATTCAGTTTGTCTACGTCATCTTGTATCTTCATACTATCTTCCTCTGTCGAAATCCTCCTCATAATTTTTGCATCATCAGCAAACAATGAGAGGAATGAGTCTTTTCCCTCTGGGAGATCATTTACATATATCAGAAACATTATAGGTCCAAGGACTGATCCTTGTGGGACTCCACTGGTGATGCCTCGCCAATCTGAGGCCTCACCCTTCATAGTGACTCGCTGTCTTCTGTTGCTTAGGTACTCCCTTATCCAATGGAGTACCTTCCCTTTCACTCTTGTCTGCATCTCCAGCTTGTGCACTAGTCTCTTGTATGGTACTGTGTCATAGGCTTTCTGGCAATCCAAAAATATGCAGTCTGCGCAGCCCTCTCTTCCTTGAGCGATTTGTGTTGCCTGGTCGTAGAATTCAATTAATCCTGTGAGACATGACTTACTATACCTGAACCCCATGCTGATATTGTGTTACAAAGTTCTTTCGCTCTAGCACTACGACCCCGAGCGCTGTAAGTTAACTTTAGGATACTCGGCTACATCTGGTCTAATCTACATCATCAGGTAATACAAACTTCCATAGATACTTATATAACAGAGCCTAATGGCTATGTATGGGAAGCATAACAGCCAAGCTACAGAGGCCTAGTCTATGTGTAACTAAACGAAACTCGCCACGCTAGTCCCCCAGAGTGCCTAAGAGGTCCACCTTCATTACCAAAGAGGGATATGCATTTTAAATTTTGATAAGTAAAGTTTTCTTTATCTACCTCTTAGAGTCTCTGGTCCTGATGCCCAGATGCTGTGTGAGATTTCGACAATTTAATTCCTATTGTCGGGGACAGAAAGCCTGTCTATATATGCAGTTGCCTAAATCAATGCTAGGTGAATAGAGGCATTAGTTGAAAGGGAAAGTGCCCAACCATTTCTGCTCAGGATACACGATTGTGAGTCAAGATCGAAGCCAACTCATCCAAATTTCGGTTCATTGTTTCACCTTCGACGTCCTTCTACCAGCCCGTCCTCCAAACAAAGATCCAAAAGTGATTCCATGCACCCGCCAAACCCCCTGTTTATGAAAGAAAAGCGGTTTACACACGATTCACAACTGCTGACGTTCGAACATATTCGGAACAAGTGCTTCGCTGACGAATTTTGTTCGAACCACAACGCTGTAAATGCTTCACTCACGTACTACAAATACAAATAATCGCCAACAGAACCTAAACACCTGACCTAACCTAACCTATGCCTATATATGCACAATATGCTAATATATTATAATATTAATTTATACTTGCGGAAATTCCCGTTTTCAATGAACAGCATGTTAAAATTTATGAATGCGTCTGTGGGGTTGACCGCTGGATGTAATGGACTTGAGTCGAGGACGGGTTGCTTCTACAGCCCGTCCTCCAAACAAAGATCCAAAAGTGATTCCATCCACCTGCCAAACTCCCTGTTTATGAATGAAAAGTGGTTTACACACGACTCACAACTGATTTCGTTCGAACACTTCCGGAACAAGTGCTTCACTCACGTCCTCTGTTCGAACCACAATTCTATAAATGCTTCACGAACGTACTTCAAATACAAATAATTACCAACAGAACCTAAACACCTAACCTAACCTACGCCAAACTATACATACAATTTTTATATATAAGAATATTAATTTATATATGAGAACAAACCCATTTTTAATACACAGTATGTTAAAATTGATGAATGCGTCTGGGGAGGACAGCCGCTGCTCTAAACAGCCTAGTGTGAGGACAGGTTGCCTCCCCAGCCCCATTCATCAATTTTAACATAATGTGTATTAAAAATTGGTTTGTTCTCATATATAAATTAACATTATGCATAACAAATTTCTGTATAGTTTGGTTTGATTGGATGTTTAGGTTCTGTTGGCGATTATTTGTATTTGAAGTACGTGGGTGAAGCATTTATAGAACTGTAGTTCGAACAGAGGACGTGAGCGAAGCACTTGTTCCGAAAGTTTTCGGACGTAATCAGTTGTGTATATGTAAACTGCTTTTCATTCATAAACAGAGGGTTTGGCGGGTGGATTAACGAGCTTGGATCTTTGTATCTAATTTGCTCGCGCCAGATAACGGTAATCTTGAGGGTTGGTAAGTGTTGATCTCCTTGTCAGACGACCTGTTCGCTCCATACAGTTAATTAAATTTCAGCTGCGTCTGGGTACAAGTGACAGCATGAACAACCCAGCGGGTTTATTTCCTATTTTGGGGGAAGGGTTGTGGTTGTTGTACATATGTGCTGTTATGGCGGTGTGCACACTCACAGGATGAGTGGCGCTGCACATACAACTCTCCTTTCCGGGTTAATTAATGTAATTTTAAACCCAGCCAGTGTTGGGTGGAGGGGGGGGGGGTGAGTTCAGGTAAACCAATTTCTTTTCCTGGTATATTTTCGACCACAGATGTGGTCATTCACTTATACGATGTTAATCCGTATTTATACATTTTTGTCTGTCCATTATAGGAAGGGTTATAAAGGTGCTTCCAAACATAGCGAGCTGGGTGTGGGTTAGCCGCCTCTTGTGTAAACAACCCATCCTCTCAACTAATAGGTCGCATTTTGTTACATTATTTTTTATTTGGTAAACACATAAATACAGCCATAACAGAAAAAAACATCATCACCATTAACATTAACAAGGCAAGAAACACATGAACAGACCGCAAGAACAGTATAACAAACACATAAACAAAAGTCGTATAAGGCTCAAAATGGAAACATAAACATAGGTAAACACCTAAACACAGTCATAAAAGAAAAAGCACCAGAGCACTATAAACCAACAATAACAAGGCAAGAGGTACATGAACAAAACACAAAAACAGTATACCATCACACACAAACAAAAGCTGTACAGTACACAAAATGAAAACATTAACAATGAATACCGGACCACAGGGAACCGGAAGACTACAAGAAAGAACAAAAAAATTACACATCATGCATATGTGGAAATTCAAAATGTGGATTGTTATTGTTACATGCAAAGCATGCTACAGAAAAGACAATACAAGAAAACTTAAAACACAATCACAAAAAAACAAAACATAAACCACCAAAATACAAGTTAACTGTCAGAATACAAAGTACACACAACTTCAACAAACATCATAATATAGAAACAAACACAAAAATAACCGTATCCAACAGCACATCAAAACAAATAAAGCAGTACAAATCAAGAACCACACACACACAGTTAATTTTCATAATATTTATCCAGATATAGACGATGGAGTACGTCTTCCTGTAGGCATCCCACCGAGACCACTCCTCCACAGACGAGGAAACGTGACCACGCGATCGCCGCGGGCGATAAAGTCAGGAACATCCATCACTGCGCACTCTACCACGAGGGCGGATGTCACAAGGGCGGAATTCACGGGGAGAGGCTGCACAGAGCTCGGCCGTGCAGGCGGTGGAACCACAAGGGCCTGGAGCACAGGAGCCGGCTGTACAGAGGGCGGCAGCACAACGGGCAGTGCAGGTGACAAAGTCCCAGAGGGCGATGGCGCAGGGGCCGACACCACAGGGGGCGGAGTGACAAAGGGCGGCTGAGCAGAGAGCGCCGCACAGCGGCCGGCATCACCGAGGGCAGAGCATGGAGGACACAGACATGGATGCCTGAGGCACGTGGGCCACGGGAACAGAATATTTCTTAAGAACCATCATCGTCCCTCCTCCCTCTCCCACAACCTCGGCCGATGCCACAACCTCCGAACCCGGGGAACTCGCAACTGGAGATGCAGAGGCAGCTGGATTTGACACAGGGCCCGGTGACAATCCCACCACAGGACCCACTATCGCCGCAACACGGCCCACAGGAGCTGCAGGCACCCCAACATCGTCGTCCACATCACCATCCACAGAAAACGAACTCCCGGAGTCCCCAAAATCCCTGACGTCGGCCCAGGCCTCACCACGAGAAAGAGACAGACTCAAAGCTCGCTGCAATCTCTTGGACACAGGACACAGGTCATCGGAACTATCACCCTCGCTAGGAGGCACCGCAGAAGAACCTCCAGTCGGCTGCGCAACTCCACGCAGCGCACGATCACTCAAAATCGCAGCCTCAACAACCATGTGGAACAGGACCACACATCGCAGAAGACATCACCGTGTGCACGTCTACACGGCCGAAGACACAGCTCCACAAACAGTTCAGTCCAGGGCGCAGCCTCGATGTCCGAGGGACACTAGACCACAAGAGACACGTCTGGAGACGGGGCAGGCCGGAGTGGCTGAGGTAGGGGAACAAGGGTCACACTACCACCTCGACACCCACACCTCCAACCGCATCTAGGCGGGCATCAGAGACTTGCAACGGGGCACCAGACACCAGGAAGCAGCATTCAGCACAGCAGCACCTGGAGACAGATCCGGGGCCGCCAACAGGTAGAAAGTCCTCCTCCCTGAAGAGGTTCACAGGGCCAACCCAGCTCTCATCACAACCCGCAGCATGGTGGTCCGATAGTTCGCACCGGAAACAAGTCCGGGCTGACCCGCATAGAATACTCGCACCGTGAAGCCCAGAAGCAGAAGAGACGAAGGGATGGTGTCCTTCAGTCGCAACGCAACAGTGCGGGATCCCATTCAAGATACCTTTTCACTCCCTGGAGGAGACAGAATTCATCTGGACATTCAAGACCCGCCCTTACCGGGTAAAGTGACGCTGGAGAAGGGAGTCGGGGAACTCAAGGGGAGCACCATGAACTGCCACTTAGTTAGTCTCACTGTACCTGTCTGTCACTTCCACCGAACTACCACCCTCAGGCAGAATGAGGGTCCCCCCGTCATAGCAGTCCACAAAGTCACAATACATAGCCGTGGAGTTGAATTTCGCAACAGCTCGATGCCCAGACACAAGTTGAACGCCGCACACAGACGCAACATACACCCGCAACATATCAATTATGACCACCTCAACTGCCGGTTAAGATGCTGGTCCAGTTAACTCCAGGCCAATGGTATCCCTCTGCTTCACAGGGGGGAGGGGGGGGTCCCCATCGCTCCAGCCGGCACGTCCCCAAGGCCCCGTTCACAAACACAAACTACCACTGGCCAGCAAACCAGGGGCCAGATTCACGAAGCAGTTACGCACGTACTTAGGAACGTTTTTCTTCTTAGCAGCTACGTCGGGATTCAGGTAGGCATTTAAGACTGAAAATCATCGTAAGTACACCGCCTCACGCTAAGAGTGCTCTAGGCCAGTCACAGCTTTACGTACGATGGATATAACACAATTTTTCTCTACTACACAAACCGGAGGATCAATTTTAACATAAACAAATATTTTTGCTGGCGAGTCATCAAGAAGGAGTCCTTCGTGTTACCTATATATGCATTCTCTGTTTGAAACTTGTAGTAAATATGTCTTTTATGATATTAAAATTAGTTTTATAATAGCAGATATTATTCCAGTAGTTATTAAGTAAATAAACACTGGTGAGCATGAAATATGAGAGTAGGTGATGATTGCGGGCTGGTGGGAGCATTTACTATCACCAAATGCCCCTTTTCACCTAGCAATAAGTATAGCTAAGGGGTGTACCTTAGCTAAACATGCCCCTTTTTAATTTATTTTGTTTGATTTTATTTTGAAATTAAATCTGGGTGAGACATAAAAGAAAAATATGCTGCACAAATGATGTTAGGTAAGAGTAAGGGATAAACCCTTAGGTAAGGGGAAGGGTAAACACTTAAAAAAACTTGTCATTGAATACGTAGGCCTATAATTATGACTATAACTGAATATTAAGGCCTGTTAAAAAAGAGAGGGGAAGCACGGGATAGTGGGAAGGATGAAGGGGGATGGGGAATGAAGAGGGTCAAGGGGCAAATGGAAGAAGGGTGCGGGTGGGAGGATAGGCAATCCTGGACACCACAGTCTTCCACCCCTATATGTACAGTATGTCTAATATATATATATATATATATATATATATATATATATATATATATATATATATATATATATATGCGAACAAGCCTGAATGGTCCCCAGGACAATATGCAACTGAAAACTCACACCCCAGAAGTGACTCGAACCCATACTCCCAGGAGCAACGCAACTGATATGTACAAGACGCCTTAATCCACTTGACCATCACGACCAGACATAATGAGGTGATAGCCTAAGCTATTTGAACCACCCCACCGCCGGCACTCGGATAGTAATCTTGGGCATAGCATTTTACCAAATCACCTCATTCTTTGGGGCACACGTGACGAACACAAATGCGAACCTATCTATCCTATCTTTGTTTATCCTATCTTTTCTACTGTATATCCAAAGAAGTGAAAATGAGAAATACTGCACAATTTAATGATTCAAAAGAAATATTAATAACATTGTCGTCGTCTTTTCATCTTCTAGTGTGCTTTATCTCTCTCTCTTTCATCTTTCGTCAACATTACTAACATTACATATCAATATGAGAGCTTAATGATCCATGGTTAACATTTATGATTTAATAAGGATAATACTTGTCATAATAATAATAATACAAGCAATAATTTATAACTGCTTTTACCGTTTTTTTTTTAACAAGCTTACGTATACATAGCAATGTGCTGCTTCTCTCTTTTGTATGAAGGACCACACAGTGTAGATAAAAAAAACCAGCTACAAGCTCATCCAACATCCCCACCTCACACGACGGCCAGTCATACATGGAATCAGGAGAAAACGAGGAACGTAATGCTGATCTATTAGCCTCCACTGGCAAAATCTGGGTGCAGCACAAAAATATCTTCCAATATTCCTGAGTGTATGAAGTAATTACAGAGCTCAAAGTACCTCATACCATTTGGTCTGAAGTCACTGATAACAGGGTAATCACAGATATAGTGTTGGAGAGTATGTCCTCTCAAGTAGGACTGAAAAAGATGTTTTTTCACCCAGAGGGTTATAAACCCATGGAACCGCCTACCCGCTGAAGCCATAAATGCCAAATTCCAGCTAAAAAATATCATTAAGGCAATTGGTGGGCCCTTTAACAAGCCACCGGTTTACTGTCCTCATCGAGGTCACTAGATAGTTAGTGGCCCTTGGGTAAATTCAGTAAATATATACAATAATTGTCAGCGTATCTTCCGAGCAACAAGGACAGCTACACAGTATCTCTTAAAATTACGTAGGTAAACAACAAATGTAACATATTTGTTTACTACAATGTCGGTGCTGCCTCTAGAAGTTGAAAAAACAGTTTTACTTCGAAATATACTAATTTTATAAGAAAATTCGACGTAAATAGGAGGCAGTAGAGTTCCGATAAGCCAGCGCTAAATCTTCAATATGAAGAATGTTGCTGCTCTCTGATTGGCCAAACGAAACACAGTAGTGACCTCTATCGGCACGTAGGTGAACCAACAAATATCTTCCTAAGTGGACCTACCTGAATTGCACCTAAGCATCTTCTTAGGGCATACTTAGGAACCTTCGTACCAAACCTACTTATGAAGAAATACATGGAGCTTCGTGTATCTAGGTTCAGGCGAGCACTCTCACCTTGCGGTAACTAACGTTACGACTAAGGATGAAAAGTACAGCTCACAAATATTGATGTTTTCTCATGCATGGGTCTCGATGAGTTAAGTGGGGCGCTTGGGTTCACACATTTCTGATTAGCTTAGGAGGTTGGGATTTGTTACGTAGAGACAAATCAAGAGAATGGGCTTGAATCGGGCTAAGGAGCATGAGCCCAACCTCTTCCCTTCCCCCTGACACCTCCAGGGAACACGACATAACAGCTCCCCCCCCCCCCACCACCACACGGTCATTTAACTAACCGTTCTCTGCAGTTATCATCTGCTTTTATTCAAGTTTCTTTTCATAGAAGAATATGAGCGTCGGGCAACTTTTTGTAGTAAGTATTCTGGGAAAGGTGGACCTTTAGCCTGGGGAGGGGGGGGGGAGACGTGGGAAAGGGAAGACCTCGCTTATCACAGGCTTCCTGTCCCCGACTGTGGGGAGCCATACGGTCAACCAGATCTCACAGCCTAAATCAGTAATTTATAAATTATTGTCATTGTTTGAAAAAAAAAAATCAGAAATTTAATGAATAGGTATTACCTCGGGCGCGTGCAGGGTGTTTACAAGCCACCACATGACCCCAACTATCAACATACTCCGCAGTTAGCTAATAAAACAATTTGCAATATCTGAAAAAATGTGCATCACAGCCCAGCCGGACCAACCCGGGGATGGTTGGGTGGCCGCCAGTGCTCACAACACCGCGGCTCACATGAGGCTTTTGTCATCACGTGTACACCTGTTGAAAATTTGTATTTCTTTGTGAATATATATATATATATATATATATATATATATATATATATATATATATATATATATATATATATATATATATATATATATGTGCATGTGTATGTAACATTAACAATTGTGTAACTAGCTTCAAAAGACTTTCACTTGCTTAGCTAAACGAACTATGGGGTTCAGTTCTTGAACCCAGCATGTACCTCTGTAACCCTTTCCACCACTGCCCACGGGATGGGTATGGGGTGCATAATAAAAAAAATTGAATTGTAATTCTTTTATTTGGTTATGACGGCTGTTATGATCTCAGCCTACAGGAGAAACGAGTCTCCCTCCTTGAGAGTTATTCAGCAAGCCTGACCTAACTAGAAGGTCTAGCAAGTATTGA